CCCATATAAATATATATTCAATTTGATATCACTTCAAAGAAGAGGTCAAGAACATTTTTTTCTGAGGATAATTTGGGATAAAAATGTAGACCCCTTTCACTCATTACAGATCCTTAATCCTCCCACTCGGCGTGTTATATTCAAACCTTCAAGTTATCATTATGTTGTTTACTAAACAATACATAAAAGCATCAATTTATTTTAGGAATGACTCTAATTCTTGGCCAAATTATTCGAGTATAACCTGGTTTGGGTCAGTTTACGCTTTATAATCCGCGGATTATAAAACAGCGTAAACTGACCCAAACCAGGTTATACTCGAATAATTTGGCCAAGAATTAGAGTCATTCCTTATAATTTAATTCTAAAATCATTAAACAACTGTGGGTGTAAAATTTCGTTGCTTTTTATTAGTTCAAATTTGCCGCTCAATAATACAACCCTAGTAACGGAAGTGATGGGAAGCGAGGGGAGGTAAAAACTGATACATAGTCCTAGCAGCCATGTTGTTTTGTTTACATTTGGTAAGATCCAAGTTACTGTTTGAAGTTAAAGGTACGTTTATTAAATCTGGAATTTTCCATGAATCCCGAGGACTGGAAATGAGAGGATTGCATGGATACAGACGATTCAGCTGGTTGTCAGGGGGGTGTGTCCCCATACCAAACCAGGTTATACAGAAATAATTTGTGTTCCTTTTTGGATATTAACCAATCAGAGGCTAGAATACAAACAAAATTAAATTATTAATGCATGATAATACTGCCCCCATTAATTTTTCTGATTTTAAACAGATCTTTGTGAGAATTTGATTCATATTCATCTTGTTTAGTTTGGTTTCAAAAGAAATAGTACACTTCTGTCGATGTTTTTTAAAACCTATCGATTATTATGTCTATATCATTATTTTAAGAAATTATGTAGTAGGTTAGGTAATAAAACACTTATTTCATGACAACTCGGGAAACAGTCAAACTGTTGTCCCTCGATAATGGGGAAGACCTGGGAAACTGTTGCCCTCGGCCTTCGGCCTCGGGCAACAGTTTCCCAGGTCTTCCCCATTACCTCGGAACAACAGTTTGACTGTTCCCCTTGTAGTCATGAAATAAGTGTATACTGTTTACTGGTCACAGAATGGGCTGAACTGATCCATTATGACGTCATAATTAAGGAAGCGATTGCATGGCGTCACGTGATCGACTCATGTGATGTTTAAAAAAAAAAGATTTACGGTAACCATTTCCGGAATAAAGAGCGTGATTATGATTACGCCCATGACAAAAGGTCTTCGTGGCAATATTTTTAAAACGGAGAAAGAATAAGATAGGCCCTAAAGATGTGATGTTGCAGAGTGTTGGTGAGCGTCGATGCAGATTTTTTATCCATATGTTTTTTCGTTTTAACACGTCTAGCCTTTGTCGTAGTTCTGAACGCTGTAATCTATTTCATTAATAAATTTAATTCATACCTGGATCTTTACGTCCTCTAGTTTTAATTAAAATACTGGAATTTTAAATGAGATCGGTTATTTTTACTATAGGATTTACATCTATGAATAGATATTCATTTCCTAAAAGCTTCAGACGGCGTGATTTCTCAGTGATTATAATGAATATAGGCCTATATGGAAGCATAAACGAATGCGATTTTCATATATACCAGTTTCAGGTTGCATGCTGGACATGAACGTATTTTTAAAAAAAATATCGCAGAGGAAATTATTTTCCTCTGTAAGATCTTCTCTAGCATTTTCAACATCGACCATGTACATTGTAAACATTGAATCATCGGCACATACATGTATATTGCGTACACATTTGTTGTAGTAAATTGTTTTATGCGTCGTATTTGGTAAAAAAAAAATGAAACTCAACACACTTCTGATGAAAAGAAAAGAAAGGTTTCTTTTTGCAAGTTTTCACAAATCTAGCAAAAAATACGCATGTAAGAATGACAGACGAAATTAAGAGAGGTTAACTCTGACAATCGAAGAAATACGGAGGTACCAGGTATACCAGAGAAAGAAAATTATTTTGAGCATAACGTCATACGTTTTAAAAAAATTTCAACTCATCATGCTCACACGAATATATCTGAAAAATTAATTTAATTTTTGAAAATTCACGAGGACATGAACAAAGACGCTTCACCTCAGCATATTTCATGAACCGCGTGATCATGAAGCGCAAATTTATAAATGTCATTCAACCATTATTTTGGAAACAAAACAGTTTGCACTAGGCCTATAGTTTTGACGTCAAGTGTGGCATTATGACGTCACAATGGAGATATGTAGGCTTACCTAGTTCATGAGAAAATGAACTGTTTTCTAACTTGCAATGAATGTGTATGAAAAATATTTGCAAATGTAAATGTAAATTACATAGCAAATCAATAAAATTTGTCAAATAAGATAATAGCTGGGATTTATTTTATATACGGTATAGACTGCAGATACAAGTTCTCTGAAATAGTCTACTCATTAAATGTGTTCAAGTGACTAACCCCCCCCCCCCCCCGCCCCCTTTCCGATTCCAAGTCACAGTGCAGAGACCTCGATGAGTGTTCAGAGCATGAACAATTTGGCCCTTGGACCACTGTGCACTGGTTTAGAATGTATATATATATATATATCTGCTCCACGTATAAAATGAGCAACCACCACAAAATTTTCAGAAAAAAAATATTTTATCAATCTGTACGTATTGTTTTTTATAGTCTTTTAACAGATTATGCAATTTAAAGGTTCAGCAACAAACCATCAGATTAAAATTTATGAAGTCTTTTAATATTTTAGGAAAGGGGGGGGCATTGAAATGCATGTAGCTTAAAAAAGAATGTGATGACCCCACTTCATATCTTAACCATGAGTCACATATAATAATTGTTACAAAATATATCAATTTTAGGAAAATTCATTGGGCAATTTTTTGTAAAGACGTTGAAAACTGCTCTTGGGGTGAAAATATTACTGCAAATTTACAATGACTACTCCCCAAAGCAACTGTGGCATTACTACATCTATCAATAGTTTCCGATACAATTTTTATTTTCAATGAATATAAAGCATATTATTTAATATCTGGTGAAAAATTTTTAATTTGTTTCAATTTTGATACCTGTATGGCATACTTAAAATTTCACTACATAAATATCAAAATATTGAAAAACGGTGGTTACCATGGCAACCATATCTTCTTTATAACCCTGATGACCATGGTTGACATTTTCATATTATGATATCATTAACGTAAGGCAAATTATATGTAAAAATGAGAAAAATTCATAGAGCAGATTTTTTTCATGGACCCTTGCAATCTCTTCCTTAATTTCCGTACTTTACAGCTATAATATTGAATTAGGTATAAATTTAAGCATTTTCATAGCGATAAATTTGAAATTATCATTTGAAGAGTAATCCTTATATCCATATGAATATATATTCAATTTAATATCATTTTAAAGAAGAGGCCAAGAACACCTTTTCTGAGGATAATTTGGGAAATATGTAGGCCCCTTTCACTCACTATAGGTCTTTACCTTAAACGTCCGACTCAGCGTGTTATATTCAAACCTTCAAGTCATCATTATGTTGTTTACTAAACAATACATGTATGCATCAATTTATTAGTGCATGATAATACTAAGAAATAATACAGACTTTTGTCGATGTGTCTATATCATTACTTTAAGAAACTATATAGTAGGATAGGTAATAAAACACTTATTTCATGACAACTCGGGAAACAGTCAAACTGTTGTCCCTCGATAATGGGAAAGACCTGGAAAAGTGTTGCCCCAGGCCGAAGGCCGAGGGCAACAGTTTCCCAGGTCTTTCCCATTACCTCGGGACAACAGTTTGACTGTTCCCGTCGTAGTCATGAAATAAGTGTATACTATGGAGTTCCACAATTCATAGACATTAAAACAAATCAACAGTTCAATGGATGCTATGACAAGCTAAGCACAATCAAAATTAAGGCTGTCATGTTCTAAATTTTGAATTTACCAGGTGGGAGGATATAAAAAATTTAGAACATGACAGCTCTGACAGACTGAGACAGGTATAGATATAAAAACATGATTCCATATTAAGTTTTTAATCAAATATAGAGGCAAATGAGTGAGAAAAACATGTTTAATTTAGATGCTAAAAAGTATCTATTACAGAATGAGATTATAAATAAATGCATTCATAATAAATATTTTGTTTGTTCATGCATATCTATAATGAACAATCTATAAAGTTTAGAAAGGGAATATAGTGTACAAGCATATTCCTTAAACTGTTTGTTTACTGATTCATTCGTGCTTAATATAATCCGTGAAAATAAAGGGATACTATATATAAAATTATTCATATACAACACAAAGAGGTACTTCAACAGTCCTACTTTCGTAAATAACTGTCAATTGAATGGGAAAAGATTTGATCCTGCTTTTTTACACCCCACCCCAACACACACACAACATAGGTTATCAGATAAAAAAAAAAGTTAAATTAATGTAAAAAAAAATGTGGTGCATCTACCCAACATAAAAGAAAGAAAGATATCAGATCAACGCGTGACAATATTGCAACAGCCGTGAATGGCAGAGTCTGTGCGACTGTTCGATATTACACATTGAATACTGAAGTCTTGTCAAATAATTGTATTCAACTAATGATATTTACGACAATCCATGTAATTAATATATGTTATTATATATTTTAAAAAAAAAATAGATCCTCTTGTACAGTTAATAAATTCTATAACTATAAATGCTGAAATAATGTTTGTTAAACATATTCAAACATGAAATCAATGCAATCATCAGATTCTGTTTTCTTTAACTTCACTTCTTTATTAAAATCAGAATAAAAAAAATGGTGGTGATAATTGTTGATCATGTATGAACAATTATCTATATAGACCATATGTACAGAACATACATATCTTGTAAATCACATTCACATACCAGTGAACTAGGTGTTCAATTATATATGATACATATTAAATAAATATTTGTTTCAATTATGAACATTTCAATTTCTCAAGTTCTGCCTTGATCACTTTCAAAATTCTCTGTGCCTGTATTTTGGCATTTGATGCTTGTTCTTCCGTGTAAAATTCTGACGGAACCGATCCACTGGCTACGCCATCAGGGTATCGCATGGCGTCATAAGATTTTGTCACTTCCTCGAACTTCAGCACCATAGATTTAAGTTCATCGCCACCACATCTAGAGGCCAACAACGACAGATCATGTGTGCGCATGAATAAATCAGCATCTTTCTGGTAAAGTAGAGCTTTTAACGCCTTCTCGACAGCCTTTAAAGAAAATGTTCAAGAATGTTAACATACTATCAAATTACAAAATGTCTCTTAAACTGAAAAAAAACAAATAAAATGACCGTTCGAGGTAAAGAAACGTTTTATTAGTCCCGCAATATTTCTTTTATTTCGAATTATTATTACAAGTTTACTTTAATGTCTACATATTTTGCATAATATGCCGGTCACCTTTAAGACATCGATGGGAAAAACCATGCATGTTATATTATGTTGGGTGATATATAGGTACGTGTCCCAGGTTTAGGGCAAACATTTTTGCATCAAAATATTCATTTAAATATGAAAATCTGGATAAAATATATGACGAGGTTTTCTTCCCTGCTGTTTTTTTTTCTTTTATTATTATATGCTTCAATAGTGTGAAAGAAATGAATTTGACTTTTGAATCTTCATAATGTATTTCTTTGCAAAGGAATACAATATGAACATTCAAAATACATGTATATGAAACGAAAAATTTCAGCAACACATCTCCATAAAAATGCTCCTCCCCTTTGGAAACACCTACTTTGCTTCAACTAGGGGAATTTGGATGTCCACTTATCCAGATTTAAAAAATCTAAATAAAAAGAATAACAAATGAATCTTTAAATCAAAATTTATCAAAATCAAAACCTGGATGACTATATGAACAAACTCAAACTAAATGATGCAAAAACTGATAATGGTGGTTGCCCGTGCCCATAACCAGTACCGTGTGAAGGATATCCGCCTGAAAATTGGTGAGGCAAAAGTGACACCTAAGTCTACTGTAAAAACCTCGGTGCTGCCCTGAACGCCACCTTATCAATGGAAACACAAGTCAGCTCCATGGTAAGAAAGATGTACTTCAACATTAGGAGAATCTCCAAAGTGAAACAACATCTCACCAAAAAAGCGTGTGCAAATGTCATCAATGCAACAGTCATATCCCACCCTGACTATCACAATGCCCTTGTGCTTGGCATAACTGATCGACCCATGCACCAGTTACAAGTGTCTCAGAACAACACTGCACGTTGTCTCACAAGAACATGCTTACAGACAACATATTTCGCCAGTACTTCAACAACTACATTGGCTGCCTGTAAAACAACGTGTTGTGTTTAAAGTGCTGACAACCATACGTAAGACACTACACTCCTCCTCAGCACCAACATACATGAGAGAGTTATATGTCCTGTTTACCAACCACATAGGACCTTATGATCATCTGACAAATGGAAATTGGTAGTGAAGAAATCATCAAACAAGTATGGTGCAAGAGACATAAATACACTAGGTGCACAATTGTGGAATAAACTGCCATCGGAACATCGAGAGCTTGAAGCACATGGAGCATTCCGCAAGAACCTAAAAACACTCTTGTTTAAGCGTGAATACTGTTGATTCATTTAAATTCGTGGGGGTCAATGTTCGTGGGCAAGCAAAATTTTATTGATTCGTGGGGATGTGATTTCGTGGACAGCTCGTTTATTTGGTAGATTTAATTAATCAGTACGCTGACAAAAAACTGTTCGTGGGGATGTAAATTCGTATATAAGGGTGACCCTCGAAATCCACGAACATTGATCCCCCACGAACAATGATGATTCCACAGTATGCCCTATGAATGTAAAATCCAGTACTACATCAAGGACTTCATGTGTAATCTCTTACAACCTCAACTTCGATACAGTATTAGCATATGAATACAATTACCTGTGGTCAGTTTTAATTTTGTCTAGTCTAAGCTAACAACTTTTTCATCTTACTACCATGTTTTATTTAAGGTCTTTCTTTGTTTTATCGATCATTTACTTTACAAAATAATTTTATCATAGCTCTGACAGGTCTTTTATTGGTATATTATTATTAATTATTAGCACAAACATTGTACAGCGCATAGAAACTATATGTAAATTTACGCTTTATAAATTAAAATAATAACAATAATATTATTATTATTCGAAACTCTGATAAACGATACCGATTCCTGAGAATAAAATCCCTAAAAGTATAGATTTTTTCCCAGATTTTTCTTACCTGATGGCATTTGAAACACACCCAGTTATGGGTGTTTCTTTGACCCTCGCTACCCTGTGCTGCATCCAAGTCGTATTTTGCTTGGCGGTACCATCTTTCAGCTTGACCGGGCTGGGAACCACGCCTGCGGAATTCCTGAAAATATCCATGCTCTGCTTCTGGAGGACGGTATGCTCTCTCAAATTTTGCATAAGATTTTCCACGGTTGAAGCAATGTTCATAAAATGATGAAAAATTGAATTCTTGTCTGAATGATGAACCTGAGGGACGGTAATATTTACGACGTCCTCTATACCCAGTTCCTGAATCAACTTCATCTTCACTTTCATAATCTAAAGACTGACCATTTTCAATTCTTTGGATTAAAGAGTTGATATACTGGGTCAATTTCGTGTAATAATCCTTGTCGTCCATATGTTTATCTGGATGATACTGTAAAAGAAGCCGCTTCCATACTCTCTTTCTTTCATCAAGCGGTTTGTTTAGAGTATCTTTCATGATATTTTTTATGTTTCTCTTTTGTTCCTTCAGATTTTTTCTTTCGCTCTTGCACGACGTACATGTATACGTTTTTTCACTTCCTGTGTGTTGTGTATAAACTTCCATACGTAGATCTCTTTGGATTTTCCTTTCAAATTTATATAAACGTGACGCACTTACAACAATTCCGTTCTTCAAACCTATATCAATTCTAAACCTTTTCTCCCACATATTTTTTATTTCTTTTGTTTCATCTTCCTCCACCCGGGCAAATAGGAAAACTGGTGAGGAATCTTCTTGCACAATATCATCATCAATTAAAGGATCAAACTGTTCATATCCAACATATTCATTTATTTCTAATGACTTGAATGAATTGTTCAGTAAGTGGTGTAACTTGACTGGAATTTCAGATCCTAATTCTGGAATGAAAGGTTCATCCGAAGAAGAATCTTCCAAAGAGATTATTTGTTTACTATCCAAGAACTCTCTAATGCATTCTGGATTTTCGATAAAACCAAGAACATGAGCGAGATGTAAGCAACTCCCACTCAGTTCGTTGTTTAAAAGACAGTTAATGATATGAGTTAACTCATTTGCAATGTATTCTATCCATTTGGTATTTTCTGGGCGCCTAAAAGAATTCAGATAAACACATACTAGACTTGAGTTCTCAGTGTCAATGGAATATGAAATTTGTGTTTGCATCTCAGTGTTTTTGACAACTTCCGAATTCAGTCTTAATACAGTTGTCAAATTGTCCACCTCAAAGACTGTCATTTTAAAGGTGTCCCTGATTTGTTTTTCTTCCATTTCACCACATTCTTTGTCTTTTTTGTATCGTTCGTGTCGAACCAGGCGAATGACACTTTTGATAAATTCTTCACAGCATAAAAACTTTTCCAAGAATTTTGCCCTTTCACTTTTCCTTTTGTAAGTTTTGCATTCTGTGGATACCTCTTCCGTCACAATTTTTGAGAGTAATTTTGGTCTATACTCAGTTGGAATGAGAGATATCTCTTTCACTGGATCATGTACATCTTTCATACCTAATTCTTTGAACCCGAGTATATATTTTAAATTATGGTTCCCTTTACGGAGACGTTTTTCCAAGACTTTATCGTCAACAAATATTAGTGATTTGCTCGACAGTAAGATGTGGTCTTTGCTTGGGAGATACAATTCTGATTTCAGTTGCACATCAGAAATTTCTTTTCTTAACTTCTCAAAAAGCAATTGAACAGCTTTGATTGTCATTGTTCTTTCATTAGGATCAATAACACCGCCACTGGATCTCTTATAAAGCTCTTTTAAGACATATACGTAATGGTTACTGGAAAGTTTTTCGGAAGCACCAAATTTCTGAAACACAGCATGAAATTCACCAAAATAAGTTGGAGCCTTATAGAGATACGGAGGAATTTCATGTTCATCATCCATATTAAGGACCAAAATATCTGGAGAAGCAAATGCTTTTCTCTCTTTGACATAAATGAATGGTGTTTCTTTTAATGAAATTATCCTCTCACTACATGAAATATTTTCCAGATATGAGTATATTTTCCGAAATACTGAGGAAAAAGTTGTATCCAAATCTTTATCTATCTCCACTTTTGTGAGAACATCTTCAGGAAACTGTGGGCAAATCTGTTTTATATGTTCAAAGACTTTTTCCTCAAGTGGTTTTTTGTCATGTCCGAGCCTCTGCCATATACGCTGATCATCAACAATCCTACAGGCATTCTCATTAAGTAATCCAATTTTTGTCCATACCAATTCCTTGTTTTTCACAAGTTCTGAATCTGCAAAGTTAAGCAACTGGTCGGCGGCATACTGAGAGTGGATTCTTACTAAATCTTGCTCTAATGTGTAAGGTAAAACAAAATGAATTTTCTTGACTTCTTCTAGGAATTTTTCATTTCCGCAAAACATATTCTCATTTTGTAAAGTTTCTATCAATATTGATGAATATTTTTTCACCTTATCAGATAGCTTTTCTTCTTTTCCAATTTTTTCGACACGCAATGCAAAGAGGACAAATATTTCCTCCGTCACTTTGTCTCTCAAACCACATATTTTAAGAAAGTGGATCCAATCTTTATTAGCAAAAGGTGCAGGAGGAAGTTCATCCTTTTGACAGAGGAAATAATATAGCTTTTTCTGTGGATTATAAAATTTGTTTGCTGTATATCTGATTCCATTTTGAACAAGAAAAGCCACCTGTTGTAATAGTTCCATTATGGAATTTTGTTCACTTTTGGATTTCAATATCATTCTGGTGATGACGAAATTTTTCAGCGTTTCCATATGTTTCACTATATCTCTTTCTGGCAAAGCGCTGAAATTAGGAAGAATGTATTTGTGGTATACTTCTACAACATCACAAATGTCGCATCCTGCCCTTGCATACACACAAGTCCATGGTTTGTGTTTCAAAAATTGCACTGTTGTTTTTAGGCAAAGCTGATGAAGTCCATTTATTGGTGTTTCTTTTGGAAGCATTACAGAAGTTTTAGAATCGCCGAGAGTTTGATACTCGTCTAATAAATTTTCATAAAATGGTAAACGTCTTAGCTTTTCTTTTGAATCTGCATCTGGTTTAAAACTTGATGCTTTGGATTCGAAATATTCCATTAAAACTTCACAGTTTGCTTTTATTTCAATATTTTTTGTATTTGACAAGATGCAATCCAATATTTCAAGGACATCATCTGAAGTTGCAACGAAGGAACTTGCAACAATTATGCTTGAGAGTTCGGAGTCTTCATGCATGACTTCTGTCCGATCCAGATAGGGAAGTCCAATAGCTTTCATTGTTTTTGTTACTGCACAATCAATTTGATCAAAAACACATTTTCCCTTGTTCAATGGATACAACAGCCTGTGTTCGTATTGATGATGACACTGATCATTTCTCCTTACAGGAAGTAATGCCCATTTTCCAAGGCGGAAAATCATGATTTCTAGAAAGCATTTTTGATCTCCCTTTCCATTACGTAGGGAGTAATCATAGAGTTTTCCAATGAAGCACCAAAAGGTTTTCAGCCAGTCATGACAAGGAAAATCTATCTCTTGAAAAGGAACAGGAACTTCATGCTTTATTGCTTCTGTAAAATTTTCATTCAAAACTTCACAAAGATTGTCAAGTTCTAATTTACTGATGTATGGTTTAAATAATTGATTTCTCCCGCAAAGGACAGTAAGACTTCGATGTAACAAGCGGTACTGTGACCTCGGAAACATCTTCACATACTCTCCTAGATTTGTATAATAGATGTTTTTTTGTCTAGTAAACTTTCTGAGAAACCCATCAGATGTTAACAAAAGTGGAGCACCTTCGAACTCATCACATTTTATCGAATTATCGAGCAGACAGAATTTTAATGTCATGATAACATTTTCCGTACTTTTCATAAGTGTTCTACCTACATATTTGTCGATTGTTAGTTGACATTTTTCTTCTAAATCGGCCGCTTCAAATCTTTTCAGAAAATTCAAAACCGCTCGGGGATTAATTTTTTTCACCGAAAGATTTGCCAAATTCAAACTTTCGTATATCCACAGTGGGGAATTCAACAATTTCATGCCGAAATCCCTTAATAAATATGCAAACTGCATGCTTTCACTTTTAAATCTTTCATCGTTTTCATCCTTTGGAGGAGATAAGTTTTTGAAAAAGTACGTTTCCAGATCATCAAAGAACACATCTTCTGTACTCATAGCTACCCATCTGCAAAGAAAATGTTGCTTTCTGTCTTGAAGGACAGGGAAGATTTGCATTTTTGTTGACACAATGTATCTATAAAGAGATTCCGCTAAATATCGCCAAATTCCCTCCATTCTTGCGATCCATGGAAATAAATTGTTGTACCAACACAGTCCATCTGATATTTGATAATTATGTCTACATATTTCTTGTTTCGAAATTTTGATCACTTCAGCATAAACCTTTACGACTACTAAGTCAACTAAAGTTTTGTTCCAGAGGCTTCTTGTATCTCGATATGACTCTACTTCAGGCCACCATATGTTTGTGCGTGTTTCGTTGTCTAAAGCAAATTGGCCATTGATATGGATTGGAATTCCTGTTTCAACAGGTAATGGAAGAGTGCAAAATGCTTTGTAAAATACTTTTTTTTGTGATCGAGATGATTTCAAAATTGCTAAACCTGCTACAGGAAGTAGTCTTAGATCCCCTGATGAGTATAGATTTTTAACATCACTTGGAACAATGTCACTTTCTTCGAATCCATATCTTTGAACAATTAACCACTCTTCCTGAAAGATGTCGTTCAAATTCAAAACCAGTTCGTAATGCAACTGCTTTTTGATTTTTAAAGGATTTTGCTTAAGTTCTGATATAAGCTGTTGAACACATTGATTCTCCCGTGTTTTTCTTTCGACTGACACTAAACTTCTTCTTTCCATTTGCCCTCTTTTATTAATGCTTGAGATTTGTATTTTTTTCACACTGCTTAAAAACAGAAGATTTTCTCCCATTTCATTTTCAAAGGATTTAAATAATTTTTCTATTTCATCAGTGGTGTACTTTTTTGATATATCCGAGTTTCTGTGCCGCAAGGGAAATCTGAAAAGGGTGCCTTTTCCTCCTTTCCAAACTTGTGTTCCAGTAAGGAAGCAAGTCAGTATATCTGGATAACGTTGTCGAAGATATCCACAAGCATTTGAAAACATACGCCCTGGTTTTTGTTTAGTGGCATGGGGGATGTATTCGCAATGTGGATCTAAAATACACAATATTTGATCAATGTCTCTAGATAAAAAACACGGTACGTCTGTTAGTCGGTAAACAGCATTGAATCCAACTCCATAACGTCCCGTTTTTGTTGGGTCATCAGATTTGCTTCCGATACCAAGATTCTGAATTCCTTGAATATCCTTTTCAGTGAAAACACTGTCATTGTAAACACAAAGAGCTGGCCCCTGCAACTGTTTCCACTTTTCACTAAACACTTTGTTTGTGTTATGCATTCTATAGTCCATGATGAAATGCAATTCAGAGGCACCTGCATCATCTGCATTTTGTAATAATTCTTTCAAAATGCTTATTTCTGGGTATCCTTCAAGCAGTTTCTTTATTCTTATCTTTAAATCCTCATGCTGACCAAAATCAATGCCAATTTCAGATGACGTTGTTAACAAATCCTGTTCCCTTTTTGACTTTATTCGGGCTAAAATTGCAACGGATTTTGAAATATTAGGGTGTAAAAAACTCATTTCAGGACTGTCTGGTATCCATTCACAATCGTTTTGACAAAGTTCACAAGCTTTTCGCATTATTCCATGCCTATCGGGAAGATACAATTGATGAAGAAACTCATCAATACCTAATTCTGATATTGATGGAAGTAAAGATGTAATACGACATACTGCATCAAGGGATTTCCTTGGAAGTTTTTTATTTTCGTATGTCATTTTTATTTCCTTGAAAACTTCAATGATATCGTTTGTTTCAAACTTTTCTCGCACTCCAACTGCTTTTAAAAAACGTTTGTACTTTAAGAGTTCACTTCTTTTCAAATGAAAAAGGAAAGGTTCACAGTCAAATTCCAAGGAAAAAACTATCCGATTTGGAAAAACAAATTTTCTGTCAATAAGAATGCATGCTGTCTTTGAAAATTTTGTTAGACCCGATACATTTCTATTTCTATCCTTGTCAAGCTTGTAATTAAAGGCATCATACAAATCCAAACATACCCCCTTGGTATTTTTTTCTACAAATTTATGTTTCAAAACTTCTGACAGCTGATTTGATAGCATCTCGATGGAAACATTGTCGAAGCATTTAACACCAAGACTCCTCAGCAAGGTTTTATTTTCACTCTGTTGTTCATCAGGAAGACCCAGAATTAGCTCCTGTGAACCAATGCAGTTTAATGCTGATGAAAAAAATAGATTAAAAGGGCGACAAAGCATAGTATATGATGGTTTAGAATACTGATGATAGCTGCACATTTTCGGTAACGTTTTGAGTTCTCGAATCTTATCTAAGTACCATAAATATGACCAACCAATAGGTTTCTCTTTTACTGGCAGAAATTGAATGTCCTTCAAAATGTGTAACTCGACTTCTCTAAGATTCATGAATTTTAGAAATCTTATTATGTAGTCAACACGATCTAAAGCACATGTCTGGCACCGTTCAAATAGACTTTGCACCTTTTTTGTCTGCTGAATTAACTTTTCTAATGGAATGTCTTGTTCTTTTTTCATCATTCCTAGTTTTAAAAGGCATTTTCGAAAATCCTTTTTCATGTAAGGTTCTGTGGGAAACACCATGTCAGACTCTGAGAAAAGTTTTGAAATATCCCTTTCAGGATCCACAAGATCTTTTGGACATCGTTTTTTTTCACTTGGCCGTGTCGGAATACAGTTGATATCACTGATCTTTTCCTTTATATTTTCGTCATCCCATTGCAGGATGGTCATTAAAATATAATTATAATTTTCTTTACATTCATATCTGTCAACGTTGGCCAAAAAGTATTCACATGCAAACATTTTACGTGTGACTATTTGAACAGGCTCACAAAAATCTTCCATTTTTCTGAACAATTCTACTGATAGATCACTAATAAACAACGCATTTCTGTCAAACTTTGCGATTAAATCTAAAGCAATTGTCTTAAGTTTTTCATTTGTTTGCAAAGTCGGATGCAAAAATTTACACTCCTTAAAAGCTTTCCAACCACTGGATGTCTTAAATACTTGCAATGTGGAATCTTGAGCTATTTTCAAATAGAATTCTTTTTCAAGCCTTCCCCAGATATTTTCTGTCCTTTTCGGCCACAGTGAGTAGTACACATATTGTTCGTTATTTACCTCATTCCGTAAATGCAATATCAATCCAATAAAAGCATTCAGAACGGCATCCTCTGTAAGGCAATTGTTCCATACTACATGTTTAGAGTCTTCTTTTTCGTCCGACGACGTAACAAGAAGACGCTGGCGATCAGCAGATACTGAGAAATTACCATTGATATGGAATGGGAGACCTGTCACAATGGGCAGAGGTAAATAACAAAATAAATGTCCTTCATTATAAAAACTACCAGGCAGGTTTCGCATATCTTTGCATAAAATAATTGGAGATGCCTCGTGTTTGATGACTGGAACCGCAACACAAGCAAGTGGCAAAGCACCATCACTTTTCCTATCCTTGTAAAGGGCTAGCGATTTCCCGTTACCAGTAGACCATGACAACAACCACTGGACTGACCGATGAGAGGATTTCAATTGTACCGTTATTACTGCTGATTGTATTTTGACGAATGGTTGTGATAGGCCAGTGTTTTTGAGTTCTCGTGTGGCTTCTTTTAATACAGTATACGGTTTTGACGGCCCGTCCTTTGTCACACTTAATATCAACTCCATACATTTTTGTGGTGATTCTTTTGTATTTCGGAGGCGATAAAACTTTAATTCTTGCACATTCTGAGTAAAAAGTAGAAGGTTTCCAGCTGCCTTGCAAACCAAGTTAACAAATTTCTCCATCTCATTTGCTGAATAAGGTTTCTGGCTTATTTCACTTTCTTTCGCCTGTACTTCTGTTCGCAAAGGCAACCGAAATAATGTTCCTTTGAAATTTTTGCCTTTTCGAAATTCTGAAGCTTGAAAACCAAATATGTTTTCATAAGGAAAAAACTGATCACTCATTTTATCTAACATTACTCTGTTTCTGAGTTGTAGTTTAATTCCGGGACTTTGTCGTTTTCCTTTCAAAGCCTCGCCTAGGTATTTTTCATGAGGGTCAAGGTACACCAAACTCCCTCGGCTTACAAAACTTGGAACATCAGTCAAGTTGTAAACGGCATTAAACCCAACACCAAATGTGCCAATTTTTGTTGTATCTTCCTTCTTTGTTGCACCACTTAACTTCTGGATATTCTTAAAGTCTTCATCAGTAAATTCTGCGTCATTGTACGCCCATAATGCAGGACCTTGAAGAGACTTCATGTTTGGATCAATT